CTCCTCTCTCTCTCTCTCTCTCTCTCTCACACACACACACACACACACACTCCTAAAATATATATACTTTCTCCTAAATGATATACATTTTCTCCTAAAACCATAAGGCGATGCCCTATTTTACTGGAAACCTAAAAAGGCCAGATTTTAAAGAAATTTTAGCAACTTTTTGAAATTTGTTTTAAGGCCAGATTGGCCCGAACCGGCCAATTCACTGATTCGGACCGGTTTCCCTTATGGCTGAGCCACCCCACTGATCCAGGTTTTCAAATATTGATGAAATTGTTTACATAAATTCATTAGAAAAAAACTTACCAGACTTTTTGATGGCCAATCCTTTCCAAACATTTCATTGGTAATTGTGCATTCTTTTGATTCATTCTTAGTGTATTCCATAATACAGTTTCAGAAGTAGTCTCTTGTGGTAGTTATAGAGGGTTCATAACCTGGTGTCAAAGTTGATCTCATGTGAGATGTACTGGATTGGGAAAGGAAGTGGTTGTCTGAGGTGGCTAGTGGAGCTCTTTGTCCCATCTCCCAATACTTTCCCACATGATCTTGTCTTTTATTGTCCAGAGCAGACCATAAGACAGTCCTTGGCATTGTATGCGTAACTCATTGTGGACTTTCTTGTCACTATCTTATGCCTGGAGACTGCAAATAAATGGCACTGTTATCTCCCAGGTATTGTTTGATTCATAGTATTGTATTATTTGAAGAATGAGTTAGTAAGATCCACAAAGTCAACATAGGTTTTTAAGTATATGAAATAGTGATTTGTTGGAGTGCTGATTCCCTATTAGGTGTTCAACTAGAAGATTTCAATGATCATTGTTCTCTTATGTTGATCTTATTTGTCTTCAATGTCTAAAATTTTATGTCAAAAGGTAGGTAGAGTTTTATGTTCTAAATTCCAGGTACTATGCATAGACAATTTGATAGCAAATGTTTGGTTAGAAAGCAGATATAGAAAACTTGGCCTGAGTTGAGTTGTAACACCTAATTTGACTTGATGGATTTGCAATCGAGTGATTCAAAAACTTGATTTGTGAGCTCGATGGAAAGTGAAGAGTTGTGTGCCAAAAAGCCTATAGAAACTTTGTTAGGAGTCCTATGGCAGGGTGTGCTCATTGGTACCTTATTGCTATCTTCAAACTTCTGATATTTCAACCAATTGTGTGCAGTTGCCCTCCCCTGTAATTAACAAAATTTGTGCTGTCAGAATTGTTTTCGTCATTTTCAGCTGTTCCATCTTTTCCTGAATTTTTTGTTTGATGAGATCTTTCTCAATGGGACTGGAGATGTTTTCTTACATTCTCATAGTTTATTACTAACATTCTACTTAGGTAGTTGCTATCTGCTGCTCTTATTGATGTGGATGATGGTATAGTTTCTCCTTTTCAGTTTTGTGCAAGACATGCTTTGCAGTTGTTTCTTGGTTCTGTACTCACTTACATTACGCTTGTTCTCATAAAGTTTATAGCGTTTTGCAAGTCATGCTTTGCAGTTGTTTGTGGGTTCTGTGCTCACTCACATTAGGCTTGTTGTACTATATTTTATAGTATTTGAAGGTTGACTTGTTAATTTGTCCATGGATGGCTATGATGTATATTTTTATGTGGCTCAAGTGTCAGTTGCTGTGTTTTAGCTTCAAGTTGGTGTCCTGCATTCTCTGTCTTTGTCCTAATTATTTTCAGAGTTATTTCTTTATGATGAAATCTGTTTTCTATCAATTTAAGGGTGACAATAAGCGTGATTGAAGAGACAAGTCCCATGTGCATTAAAATTGTATCCTTTAGGCATTTTTCTTCGCTAGTGGTATTATATATGTTAACCATGTAGAAGTGTTATTGTTCTTCTGTGGTATGTTATATGAAATGTAGCTTTTAATTTGTTATACTTTGTTTCTCTATTGTTTGGCTGCATCTTTTTTTTTTCGTACATAAATGATGGCATCAGAGCCTTTATGAGACAAAGTTTTCATCATGATTTTGATGAAATTTGATGCCTCATTTTGGGCATCGATTTTTGTGAATATATTCTGCCTGTATATTGGTTTTTGAAAGCATTTATATCAAAATGGACCCTTTGAGATCTATTGTATGTCATACCAGTGCCACTTCTTGTGGATATGTGTGATCTAAGATGTTGAGAGTTTAGTGGCATCAGAAGCTTGAATTTGGTTATCCATCCAATTTCATTTGCATCAAAATTCTTGCCTTGTTGAAATTTTCTTTGTTAAGTCAGTATAATCTAGTTTGGTTCTAGAGTACGAGCATCCACTTCTTTAGCTACTTGGTATTCATAATGCTACAGAATAATATATGCGATATTATCCGTTCTCCTAGATATCCTGCTCATTGATTGGAACTTTACAAGCAGGTATTGTTACTTAGGGAATTCTCCCAATGATTTTCTCTGTTTCACTTGTTCTCATAAATCACTCCGATTTGTTTGTATGGAATTACCACACCAGACTCGTACTATAGTCATTTGTTGCTTGTCACTCTCAGTAGGAACGAGAACTTCATATGTTTGGCTCTTCTTTGATCCACTATTAAGTCTTATTCTTGCCTTCTTGTTTCGGTGACATGAATGGAATGACAGACGATGACATTTCCTCGTTTTTTCTCTGTTGTTTGTAGCTCTTTTTCTACACGATCTTCTACTCTTTCTATGGGTGTTCTAGGACTTGAACCTGAGATTTTGCGTTGTTACCACTATTGCCCAATCTGGTAAGCCAAAAGTTGATATTTTGTGCTTGCTCCATTTCAATACATTTTAGATGAATCAGTTTTACCGCTACTAAAGGCTCATTATATCAGTTCTCGAAATAGTGGATGATTTTTTTAAAAAAATAATTGTGTCCAATGTTTTAAAAAATCGGTGATCTAGATCTGAACCGGCCTATCTGGATCGAGAATCGGTTGGCCCGATCCGAATCCCAGTAAGTGTCGGGATCTAGCTGATTCCCCCAATGAATCAGCCGATTCTCTAACACAGAACCGGCTGGGTCTGTCATGAACCATTGAGTGAACTAGAAATTCCACAACCCGTTAATGTTTGGACCCAGTTTTTATGAGTCCCCCCGACTCAATGCTATTCTTGTGCGGGCTCCTTATAACATTTTTGATATAGATCTTGGATCCAAATTTATAGATATCCATGATCTACACTATGATGATCATGAATATAAAAAATAAAAATAAAATAAAATACAATTTTTGAATGCTTTAAATTTTCATATGTATCGATAGGATTATTACGTTGTGGAGGTTCTTCTGGACGTTTGTGAGTTAGTGGGCGGGTGAGTCTGCTGATTCGCAAAACACTTTTCCTTAATGTTTTATTTGTATTTATTTAAAGGGAAAAGTTTATATAGAGCCGAGGCTTGAAACAATCAAATTAAAGCCTACCTCAAATAGATGAGGTTGTTTTGATACCCAAATATCCTCAAATTGAGTATCTTAATATCTAGATACATGAACATGAGAAAAAATGGATTTCAGGTTTTGGAAATAGTGTATTTTGTAATGCATTTTTGGACTATCAATTTTCAAGATTTTCAAGTTTCTCATAGATCTGTCCATCTAAACTATTTTTGAAGCTTTAAAATTTATAAATAAGATGAAAATATATTTTAAGGTTATCACAAAGTATTGAAACCACACTTTTCAACATTATTCGAAGGTAGGCTCTAATTTGATTGTTTAGAGCCTAGGCTCTATACAAACTGCACCCTTATTTAAAGGGTGTGAACCTTTAACAGTTAAAATAAGGTATGCCTCCAAATTTTGTCATGAGATGCAATTTTGGTATCGAAAATTCTTGGGATGGCATGGGAAAATATTTTTACATCTAAGTATAGAATTTTAAACTCAAAAGATGGTTCAAATCAAACAGATCTATAAATGCATGAAAATATTGAATATGGACGGTCTAGATAATGTGCTATAAGATATTTCATATCTATACATCTTGAAGTTGAGATCTCGAAGTTGAGATAATCAACTAGATATTTTTTCAACATCAAAACAACTTTTTTTTTTTGGAAGGATTTTAGATATGCATCTTGATTCTTAGATACCTTATATAAACGTTTTCTTTATTTAAAATTCGTCTTTGGAGTTTTTCTAACTGGGAGGGGTGGCTCACGTACCCTCCTATGGAGGCAACGCCTTCTTTTTACCGCAGTGGTTTCCCACCTTTTGGACAAGCACGTGCTGTGACCAAGTGGTACACAACCATTTCACCTCACCCCCAATACATTCTGTATAACTTCGCCCTCCCCTCATTACTCTTGTACTCTCCAACGTAAAAGGCAAAAGTTTATATTCAGCCGAGCCTCTAAACAATCAAATTAGAACTTACCTCAAAATTTTCATTAGAAGAGGTTGTTTTGATGCTCAATATCTTCAAATTGATCATCTCGACATCACGATGCATAGAAATGAAAAAAAAATGGATTTCTAAGTTTTGGAAATAGTATACCTGTAACGTATTTTTGGACCGTTAATTGTCAAGATTTTAAAGTTTTCGTAGATCTGCTCAATCTACATTATTTTTTAAGCTTTAAATTTTATAATTAAAAATAAAAATATATTTTAACGCTATGACAGAGATTTTCAATATTGAAACCACATTTCTTGACACTACTTGAAGTTGTGATTGTTTAGAGCCTCAGCTCTATACAAATCGCACCCAAAGTTAAATGGGCGACTTTGAAATTATCTCCAATGAAACATTAAAATAGAATAGGTAATTTATCTCCAACGAAATTGTTTTTTATATGTTCATGAAACGTTCCGGTCATTTTCAAAAGCTCAAGTCATCCACAAGTTTCTACTGATTGAAAAATAAAATGCAGAAGTTATCAAAAAGCATCGTGAGGAAGATTGGCCCAACATAACAATACTAATAATGAAAAAAATGATGCATCCAAGGCATAAATACGATAACCAGTATAGTATTATTTAGAATTGCTTCTTTTTACAAAAGTTTTGAAAAATACTGCTTTTACGTCATGTAATTCATGGTGTATGAAGGCGCACCTGTAAAATTTGCCTATAGGTGTAGTTTCAGTATTGGAAACTTCATTTATGCTTTAAAATTTATTTTCAGTCCTAGTTATGAAATTCAAAATTCTAAAAACGATACGGATCAAGTAACTTTATAATTACTTGATGATCTTGAAAACCGTCGTCATTCGAACTCTCTTCATTTCTTTATATGAAATATTTTCATTATTAGTTCGTTTTTTTATTCATCTTCTTAGGTTGTTCTAGCCAAATTCGGTTCCCAAGTTAAGCGATCATGCTCCTACCATATTCTTCCTTCCACTATTCTAAAATATAGAAAAAAAAATTGGGTTACTTTATTTCTATGCTTTGGTTTCTTTACTCAAGAAAAGTAACAATGCAAAGAGTAATGATCCTATGAGACCCTCCCACACCCATGTTTGTAGGATCTCAAAGGATCACTATTAAATTTGGTAAAGATCTCTAAAAAAGTTACCACATGGGTGTGAGATTTGACTTTTTTAGCCAAATTTAATGGTGATCTTTTGGAGTCCTACACACATGGGTGTGGGATGGTCTCATAGGATCATTACTCCAATGCAAATGACTTGTAGTGATAGTGACACACAAAAAGAGGAAGACAATAGTGCTATGATTGTGATTGTTTGAAATCTTTTGGTGACCCTGAATGGTAATACCCAGTAAAAAATGGGGAGACATCAAAAGTTTCTCGTATTTGCACTTCAACTACTAATGTCTCTACATTTACAAGCGGGATTATACATAATGAAACTAGTTTACCTTTGATACAAGGATGTCATAATTACTTGCAACCATCCGATAAGTTGCGTATGTCACAAAGTTCGAAAAAATCTCTTTTTAAATTTGAGCTTGGTTAATAGAATAAATAGAGCCATCCAATTTCACATTTAATGGTCAAGATTAATTGTAATTACCTTATACCTAAGATAAATTGTCTCTGTATATTTTTTTTTTAAATATGTCTCCAAACACAAAAAAAAAAAAATTACAAAAAAATGTCCGTTTCAACGTCACTTCCTTCAATGCCATTGGGATAAAAAGAGTAGCCTAGAGAGAGAGAGAGAGACCTTCATCCTGCAATTTCTTGAAACCAACTTATAATAATATATCTCCATGGAGAATTGCAGTACTATAAATATCGCTATTAATGGAGGCATGTATGCATGTACGCTTCGTCTTCTCACCTCATTTTGAATTCATTCCTTTTCTTTAATTTTCGAGGACCTTCCCGTTCTTCACGAGAAGTGTTAATGCGAGGATTGATTAAAAGATAAGCATCTTATTTTTTTAAAAACCATTTCTTCGCTTATAAATAGGGCTTTACATCGAGGGACGATTTTTAACCTCAAGAGAGAGAAAGAGAGAGATGGGTTGCTTATGGGGTTTCTTGTGGTGTTGCTCGTGTTCAGCAGTTTGGATGGTATTTACATGGTTTGCAGAACACCTTATGAAGAATATGTAAAAGCTTAAAAGCTCTTCAGTGAAGAGAAGGATGCATCGTTTTTCTTCCTTTTTGTTGATCTGCTTCTTTTCCCTTTCTTCTATGCACCATCTATAATGAAGGCCATATATATATAGTATGGAGGTCTTGTACTTGTTGTTTTATGGTATGACTCTAAAATATTGCGGTGTAGAGTAAAAGCTTCACAGGGCAGCCATTTTGTTTAGAATGTACTTTTTTGTTGTTGTTTTTGATTGTTAGCTTCGTAAAAAAGAGTGAATATGGGGTTGGGGTCGTGGAGGTAGAACCACTTGTACTCTAGTTAAAGTTTAGATTTCCATTATCATCTAACACATTAAAAAAACTACTAATGATTTCAAAAAACGGATAGGGGTTCGTCATTGAATTACCAAAAAAAAAAAAAAATACCAAAAGAAGAAAAAAACGAAAATAAGTACCAAAAGAAGAAAAAAAAGAAAAAAAAAAAAGAAGAGAGTGCTAGGTACTTGGCTCGTCCATTTGAGTAGTGATATTAGTTGTGCCCATGAACTTGTTAATTATTGATGTGCTCTCTCTCTCTCTCTCTCTCTCTCTCTCTCTCTCTCATTCTCTACTCACTTGTGGCATTTGATTGGCGGTGACCTGTACTGAAAAGTATTCTTCATTTGTGTCTTTTGGTTTTTTTTTAGTAGTTTTTTTTTGGGCAGTTAAACGGGTGGTTTCGAATAACTCTTTAGGGTTTCTTTACATACAGACCAGGTAAAATTATTGATATTATCCTTTGGTCCGTAAGTTCGGTAGAGCACTTGTCTGATATTTCTAACATCAATATTTGTTTATTTTTTAGTTATTTTGAGGCCCACATTTTTCACACAATGTTCTCTATGGGGCAGTCCTATATTATGAACATGATTTTGTTTTTTCATTCTTGCCAACAATCAATAAGTCATTTGCATAGAGCAAAGTAATAATAAAGTCATCATCAAAGAATTTCTGAACAAAAACACAATGGTTAGAAGTAGTTTTTTTGTTACCTTGCTCCCCATAATTGATTCAAACTTCTTATACCACTGTCTCGATACCTATTTCAAGCCATAAAGGCTTTTCTTCAATCTGCACACATAATCCTCTTTTCCTGTCACTTTGAAACCCTCTGATTGATTGCTCTATGTAAATCTCTTCTTCTAAATCACTATGAAAGAAAGTAGTCTTCACATCCATCTGCTCAACATCTAAGTCAAGATTAGCTGCTAAACTGAGAACTACACAAATAGATGACATCTTTACAACTGAAGAGAATATCTCATTGAAATCAATGCTTTTTTTTTGACTGAATCCCTTGATAACCAATCTTACTTTGTACTGTGGACGTGATGTGTGTTCTTTTTGTTTCACCCTATACACCCACTTATTATTCAAAGCTCTTTTGCCCTTAGGCAATTTCATCAACTAAAAATGTGATTCTTATACAATAACTTCATCTCATCTTACATGGATTCAACCCACTCATTCATGTGTTCATCTTTCATGGCTTCTTCAAAACACTCGGGTTTTTCCCTGTCAGTTAATAATATATACTCATCTGTAGAATACCGTGGGGAAGGGCGTCGGTCTTTAGTAGATCTCTTACGTGGAACAGGTAGTGGAACTTCTAGTACTAGCAACTGTTCATAAGAACCATCATCTATCTCAACTTATATAGGAGCATCTGCATCACCTATAACCTGTTGGTTTTGAACTTCATGTTCAACTTGTTATGGTATCGGTGTTGGAGGAACTGGATCCAAGTCAATCAAAAAATCATTATGTTGAGGCACTATATTCTCTGTCTTATCAATATTCTGTATGGTCTGATCTTTCATAAATACAACATCTCGGCTTCCAATATTTTTCGTCTCAATCGGATCATATAACCTGTAGCCAAATTCATCTTGACCATAACCCACAAATACACACTGTCGTGCCTTGACATAAAGTTTAGACCTCTCATCTTTGGGAATATGCACAAATGCCTTGCATCCAAAGACACACAAATGATCATAAGAAACATCATTGCATGTCCAAACTCTATTTGTACATCAAACTGTAATGGAACACATGGTTTCAAGTTTAACACGTGTACAACTGTACTCAAAGCCTTACCCCAAAAGGATCTAGGCAACCCTGCTTGTGAAAGCAAACATCTGACTCTCTCCACCAGTATCCTGTTCATTCTCTCAGCTAAACCATTCAACTGAAGAGTCTTTGGAGGTGTCTTTTGATGTCGAATACCCTGTTCTTTGCAATAATCATCAAACGGTCCTGAATACTCTACCCCATTATCTGTGTGGATGCATTTCAACTTCTTTCCAGTCTGTCTCTCAACTGAAGCTTGAAAATGCTTGAATACATTTAGCACCTGATCCTTTGTCTTCAAGATATAAACCCATAACTTCCTTGAATGATCTTCAATAAAGGTTACAAAATAGAGAGAGACGCCAAGCGTTATTAATTTCATAGGACCGTACTCATCGAAATGTACCAAATCAAGTACATTTGACTTCCTTGAGGGATGGTAACTCTTGAAGGAAACTCTGTTCTGCTCCCTGTCAAGCAATGAACACACTTTTTCAAATGTGTACCATTCATTCTAGAAAGGAGCTTCTTATTGGACAACGCCATCATTCCTTTTTCACTCATGTGAACGAGTCTCTTGTGCCACAACTCAATTGTACCCTCATTCTCCACTGCATTTATAATGCCTTTGGAGAGCTTTGCTTGCAATTAGTACAATGTCGAACACTTTTTGCCTTTTGCCACAATCATAATACCCTTGTTGAGCTTCCATTGGCCCTCACTGAAGGTATTACAGAACCCCTCATCATCAAGTTTACCTGCAGAAATTAAATTCAAATGGATGTCAAGAACATGTTTCACATCCTTGAGAAGTAACCTTGTGCCAGTATTGGTTTCCAAATAAATGTCACCTATGCCAATAACTTTGGCCAAACCATCATTGCCTATCTTTACAACCCCAAAGTCACCGGGTGTATAAGATGTGTAGAAGTCCTTCCGAGATGTAGCATGAATGGAAGCACCACCGTTTATCACCCAACTTGTCTCATGGCATAGAAGGTTAATAATATCAGTGTCATATAAATGAGAAAATCCTTAAAAGTGATGGCAACTCGATCATCATCACTGTCTTCATCTTTCTTCTTTTCTTTACCTTTTTCCTTTTTATTCTCTCTCTTCAACTTCTGACAATACTTCTTGGTATAACCCTTTAGACCACAATGATAACACTCAACATTTGCAAACCTGTTGGACTTACTTCCTCTCTTGTCTCTATTCTCAGCTCTTACTCCTCCCCCTTTGCTCGGTGACCAAAGCATCCGATTGTGAAGAGGAACCTTGTGACTTTCTTCTCATCTCTTCATTTAGAACACTACTTTTAGCCAAATCCATCAAAATTATACCCTCTGGAACCGAGTTAGATAATGATATCCTAAACGTCTCCTACTAGTCTGGTAAAATACCAAGAAGCCATAATCCCTGTATCTCTTCATCAAACTTGATACCTATCTCGGACAATTGATGAATGATTCCTTGAAATGAATTCAAGTGATTTGTCAATGGAGTTCCATCTTGGTATCTCAAAGCCATCATCTGTTTGATAAAAAAAAGTTTATTATTCCTAGTCTTTTGAGCTTATCATCCACCCACTGTCTAATATACCCACACACTCACCGATGAAATATATTCCATTCCCCATTGGTCTTATTAGCGAGTTTCTCACTAGCAAAAACCGGTAGATAATAATCATTCACATAAAGAAGGTCCATTTTTCCTATCCAAACATTATAATTTGAACCATTTAAAGTAACCATTCTACTTGTATTAGTTTCTATTGTTCAATCCAAGATAAATAATTCAGCAATCACAAAGCTTAAATTTAGGAACCACAATGCTCTGATACCATTTTATTGAAGAGAAAAACAAACCAGGTGATACCCGATCAACAAGCAAAACGGAACAAAACAATTCTTCCCCTCTTGGGTGAACCTAATATGAAGTAATTAAGTAGATAACAATATATCAAACACATTAAAGGTAATTATTAAGCTTCCAAATTAGCAACCAAATGTACCACAAACACACACATAGACACCACCAATTTTTATATGGAAAACCTCTCCAAATTGAGGATAAAAACCACGGACCGTAGTCCACCCAAAGCTTCCAATATCACCAAATAATGGGAATGCACAAGAGCCTTCTCTAGTTAAAACTAAAGGCATACAACAATACCAATCATCAAGAACAATATATTTTTGACAAATATCATAAACAAGATAATTCCAAAAAGAGAAAATTGAAGAGATCTCACCAAAACAAAGGCAGCAAAGATGGCTCTGGAAAATTGAGTTAGAGGACTCCAAACATCAATTATACCGTTCAGAATGAAGAACCATGTGTTTCGATGCTGCTGTCAAAATTTCAAGTCGATCGGACCACGAATAACCATTCGATCAAGCTCTTGATGAAGACTGCACAATACCTCCAAAACCTAGAATTTTTTCATCTCCTTTCTCTTTCTTAAATCTCACATCTTGAGACTGAATCAGAAAAAACCCTCATTTAACATATAATGGACAAAATGATTGAAATGCCCTTACTCCATATGAGATTTAATCCATATGGCCTTCACCCAAAAAAAAAGAACTTTGGGCCATTCTTCACATGGAAGGGAACTCATCCCAACACCATCTCCATACTAGAGATCCATTCCCATAACCCCCAAAGAGGTGACCCTCAAGAGATGGATATTACGTCCTCATTCACTCTCTTCTAAAGATATCACTTTCTTACTTCCCAAGAAAATCAATTTTTTATTTCCCATAATACCCTAATCCTTAGAAAAAAATATGGGTATGGTGATTGAGCTATCACCAAACCCAACACTTTTAAGTATAACAAATTATCAAAATACACTTGGTTTTTCAGGACTTGCAACCCTAGATAGGGTAATTTGAGAATTTTTGAATAATTTTTGATGGAGGTACTTTATGGAATGAAGTTTAGAAATAAACCGTGAATTAATAAATGAGATCTTTAGAGCCCTTCAACGATTTTGTAAAATAATTTAAGTTGTTTAATGATATTTTTATTTTACTTTTTAACATTAACTTGAAACTTTCTATTACTGGAAAAATCTTG